TCAGCATGTTTGCAGGTCTGTCGAATGGCTTCGGCTAAGGCGTTCATCGAGACTTCCTTGGACTGCAAGGCTCTGCCTGTCCTGCTCTGAGGGTACTGCCTGACGAAGTGTTCCAATCTTCGGATCAGCTCTCCTAGCGAAGGTGCTGAAGGCGTCGTGTCCTTGTTTAGGAACTGGGAAACTCGGACACGAGCAATCTGTTTCCTTTCCTCTTTGGATAGATACCACATGATCAAACAACCGTTTCTGCACAGAAAAATATCCTGTTCAGCACCCTAGCTCGCAGGGATCCCCTCAAACTGCAGGGGAGGAGAGCATGTCTGTTACTCCAGCGGTCTGTCTGTTACTCCAGCGGTCTGTCTGTTACTCCAGCGGTCTGTCTGTTACTCCAGCGGTCTGTCTGTTACTCCAGCGGTCTGTCTGTTACTCCAGCGGTCTGTCTGTTACTCCAGCGGTCTGTCTGTTACTCCAGCGGTCTGTCTGTTACTCCAGCGGTCTGTCTGTTACTCCAGCGGTCTGTCTGTTACTCCAGCGGTCTGTCTGTTACTCCAGCGGTCTGTCTGTTACTCCAGCGGTCTGTCTGTTACTCCAGCGGTCTGTCTGTTACTCCAGCGGTCTGTCTGTTACTCCAGCGGTCTGTCTGTTACTCCAGCGGTCTGTCTGTTACTCCAGCGGTCTGTCTGTTACTCCAGCGGTCTGTCTGTTACTCCAGCGGTCTCTGTCTGTTACTCCAGCGGTCTTGTCTGTTACTCCAGCGGTCTGTCTGTTACTCCAGCGGTCTGTCTGTTACTCCAGCGGTCTGTCTGTTACTCCAGCGGTCTGTCTGTTACTCCAGCGGTCTGTCTGTTACTCCAGCGGTCTGTCTGTTACTCCAGCGGTCTGTCTGTTACTCCAGCGGTCTGTCTGTTACTCCAGCGGTCTCCTAAGCGCTGCCTGGAATAACCGGCGCTCCTAAACCCTAAACCCTATTATTATTATTATTATTATTATTATTATGTGAGTTTATTAGAATGCTAGAATGTTGCTCGGCCTCGTTGTGGGCTTATGCAATTTGATCCTAGTCTAAAGAGGCGCTCGAGCACTGGGAGTACACGGCCTACAATGCGAAACCTGCTTCTGAGGCGTCTTTCTACTTTCTACTTTTGCTGTCTTCTCTTGGCTTCCTCAGCCTCAGTCAGGAGAGTTGCCTCTCCTCACCTTGGCCTTCGGTCACCACCTACTCTACCTCCATTCAGCTTCCTCAGCCTCAGTCAGGAGAGTTGCCTCTCCTCACCTTGGCCTTCGGTCGCCACCTACTCCTCCTCCATTCAGCTTCCTCAGCCTCAGTCAGGAGAGTTGCCTCTCCTCACCTTGGCCTTCGGTCGCCTCCTACCTTCTCTCCTTACCTTGAGCTCAGCTCAAGCTCGGTACGGGCTCGCCCCGTCTTCTTCCTCGCCCTCGCCTTGCTCTTCCTCCATGTCTTCCTCTTCTTCGTCATCTTCCCTCATCTCCACTCGCAGTCGGTCCTTCTTGTCCACCTTCAGCGAGCAGGCCAGCACATGCATCTCTGCGAATTTACTCAGTGCTATGAACAGGAAGCTAAGAGATCGACGCTCTATGTCGTCGCTCTCCGCCTCCTGCTCAAGCTCAGCAGCTGCCGTTGCCCGTGGCGAGAACGCGCTGCCCCTCCTTGCCTTCTTGCTCTCTCCTTGCACGCGAGTCCAGCGCTTGCTCTGCAGCCACTTCCCCAGCTTCTCCTTGAGAACGTTGCGCCCAACTCCCTGCTCCTCTGGCATCTTCGCCCACTCTCCCAGCGACATGAACTCCAGGCTCCCCGGAGAGTAGAACGTGTCGTGGAGGTTGCCAACGGCCTTGTCCAGGACCAGCTTGATCGGCTCGCTCGTCCCTGCCTCGTTCAAAGAAGCTGCCTCTTCGATGACTGCTGACAGCTCGCTGACGAGCTGCATGTCCCCTTGGCTTGACGGAGATGCTGCCTCCATTGTGATCCTCTCCAGGTCTGTAAACTCCAGCCACTCTCCCTCGCTCTCCTCCTGTCGCTGCGCTGCGTCGCTGGTGCCCCGCTGACCAGCCGCCTCAGGCTCCTTGTCGAAGCCGACTGCTTCGAGCTTGGTTGCTGCGCCTTCGAGATAGAAGGGCAGCTCCTTCATCATGCGTCGAGCATCCTCCGTGGAGCCGAGGAGGATGCATAGCTTGGACCCGTTCCAGGACTTGGTGTTCAAATCCTCCTCCATGTCGATGCCTTCAACGTTGATCTCGAGCCTGTTAGCGATCTCCAACAAGACTCTCTTGACTCTTGCGATAGACGTGTTGCCGCCGTTGCACAGCCCCTCCATCTCCTTCCTCGTGAAGCGACCAGATGCCGCCGTCGACTTGATGATGATCTTGATCTCCTTGCCGTCCTTGCCGCCTGCCTTCTTCTGCATCCTTGATGCCTTCTTCAACTTATTTCTGGATACAAAGCGATCAGCTGTCAACTCGACTGCGAGCGCCTCTCTGATCTTCGGGTCCTCGCTGAACAGAGTCAGGTGTACTCCCTCCATCGCTTCGCTCTCTCGGAAAGCTCGAAATGCTGTATCATTCGCCTCTGGGCAGCTCGAGGAGACGATCCACTCCACCTCCCTCTGTCTCCAGATGACGTTGGCCCCTACAGCGATGAAGCCTTTCTGACCTAAGCCTTTGTGGACTTGCTGTCCTGGCGCCCCAGCGACCAGCATGCCTGCCAGCGGCTGGAGCTGGACCGCTGCAAGGGACTGGCGCAGCAGCTGATAGCGATAGACGGCAGCTATCTCAGCCGTTGTCATGCCGCCCAAGGTTAGCAGGTGAGTCAGCTCTGCCAAGCTGCCCCCTTTGCCCCAGGGTCCTCTCTTGGCTCGAATCTTGAAAGATCGATCGTGCACGATGCTCACATGTACAGCTGTGAACTTGCGACCATCGATCGCGAAGTCCTCTCTTCCCTGCCAGAGCTTCTCCGCTTGTGCATTGCGGAGGAAGGAAACAGTCACCGGGATCTCCTCAGCACTCGCTATCTCGGGTCTATACGGAGCCTTCCACATGATTGCTTTACTCTCTTGCACTGAGTCTACGATCAGTCCGATCTCTTCAAATTTCTTCTTCAGCTTTTCTTCATGGTTGACATACACCGAGGAGATGCCCAGGAGAGTCATGGAGATGAAGGAAGTCACCTCGTTGCCTGCTGAGGCGGTGTATGTCTCGACCTTCTCTTTCTTGGCTTCTTCAATCTGCTGCATAAACCACTCTCTGGATGCGTCACTCCATCCAGCCATCGCTTCTTGTAGAAGCTCACGTCGTGCCTGCTGACATGTCGAGCGGATGGCTTCTGCGATAGCGTCGGGGGTGCATCCCTCCACAGCCTTGCAAGCCTGGGCTGTCCTGCTGTTCGGATAACGCTTCGCGAAGCTCTTCACCCTCTCGACGAGATCAGCTTCGAGGACAGAGGCATCCACAAGTCCGCTCTGCGTGTATTGGCATGATCTCCGATACAGCAGGTTAGTATACAAACCTCTCGCTTGCAGCTTCCTTGGCGCCCTGGCGGCTTCCCCTACACCTGACGAGGAGCCATGCTGCCGAAAATAACGGCGCCTGCCGAAAATAACGGCGCCTGCCGAAAATAACGGCGCCTGCCGAAAATAACGGCGCCTCCTAAACCCTAAACCCTAAACCCTAAACCCTAAACCATAAACCCTAAACCATAAACCCTAAACCCTAAACCCTAAACCCTAAACTAGTGAGCTCGACTGCAAACGTCTCTCTGAGCTTGACGTCGTCGCTGATGAGAGTGAGATGCACCCCCTCCATCGCCTCGCTCTCTCTGAACGAGGCCAAGGTCTGCTCGCAGCTTGCCGTCGAAGGCGAGCTCAGCACCCACTCTAGCTCTCTCTGCTGGAGAGTTCCAGTACTTGCCCCAACAGCAACATACGTCTTCGGGCTCGGCCCCTTGCGACCTCTCTGCCCAGGACCCTGCACGAGCATGCCCGCAAGTGGTTGTACCTCTGCGGCTGCAAGAGATTGCGAGAGCAGCTGAAATCGATAGATCTGAGCGATCTCAGCCGTCGACATTCCTCCAAGAGCTAAGAGCTGCGATAGCTCGGCAAGGCTCCCTCCCTTGCCCCAAGGTCCTCGCTTGGCTCGAAGCTTGAACGACCGGTCATGTGCAATGCTCACCTCTGTGGCTCGAAAAGCTCTCCCTTCGATGGCGTATTCTGTCCTGCCATCGACTGAGTCTACCATGAGACCTAGCTCCATAAGCTTCGTTTTCAACTTTTCTTCTTGTCGAACATACATCGAGGAAATCCCTAGGAGAGTCATGGAGATGAAGGAGGTCCCCTCGGTGCCTTCGGTGCCGATGTATGTCTCGACATTCTGCTTCTTGGCCTCCTCCATCTGTTGAATAAACCATGCTCTCGACTCTGAGCTCCATTCGCTCAGAGAGTCTTCAAACAGGTCGCGTCTCGCCTGCCGACATGTCGAGCGGATGGCTTCAGCGATAGCGTCGGGAGTGCATCCCCCCTCAGCTCTGCAAGCATGAGCTGTCCGACTATTCGGATAACGCTTGGCGAAGTTCTTCACCTTCTCGACGAGGTCGGCGGCCTCCTCGACGTGGCCTCCAGAGCGCTCACCCTGCGTGTATTGGCATGATCTCCGATACAGCAGGTTGCGAACGCTCTCATCATACTGTAGTACCATGCTTAGAAAGCTGTTTGAACTATACGAACCTCTTGCTCGCAGCTTCCACCGGTCCCCTTGCGCTCTCCCTACGCGCCGCAGGGCAGCATGCTCTTACTAAGGGCTGGCTCCTAAACCCTAAACCCTAAACCCTAAACCCTAAACCCTCAACCCTAAACCCTCAACCCTCAACCCTAAACCCTAAACCCTCAACCCTCAACCCTAAACCCTCAACCCTAAACCCTAAATCCTAGGCGTATAACCCTGAACCCTAAAAACCCTGAACCTAAAAACCCAAAAACAACCTCAACGTTTTTCTCCATCCCCTCCAAACTTGATCTGCGCTTCTCGTCATCCGATTTTCGCATTTGCATGACCAGTATTCCTCTTGATTGGGTTCGAAAACGTTTTTGACCGGATTACCCACGATCTTCGTCGATTTCTGTTCGTCTTTCCTCCCCTGCTCAGCTCATTTAACTCATCATTCCATTCTGGCAATGAAAGCGCAAATTATTCTTTTCGCCATCATTGCTATGATGCGGCTTTCCAATGGCACTGTTTACGTAGGAGGAGATTTCTCGAGGTGAATAGAGGAAAATGAAGGAGGATATTTGACATTTAGGCAGCTACATCGCATCCAACGGATCAAGAATCTTTGTTTCGGTGCTGGATTCCGGTTGCAGATAGTCATGTTTGACATGACACATCTCTGGCAAGGCCATTGGAGAACTGCTTACTTCCGATATCCTTCAGTTAGGAGATGGAGTGGATTTGCAGAAGCAAGTGTCAGGTGATTCTCGCAAAAAACTCTGCTGATCCTGGCTCTTCTCTGTTTTTTTCTAAGTTGACAATCAGCAATCTCCTACCTTCCACAAGCGCCTCGGTGCGACAGAAACTGCAGCAGCACACAAGCATGCCTTGTGACGTGTGTGCCTGGAAGGTGCCTTTCCCTTCGCGGCGTGTCATGACAAACGTGCAGGATCTGATCCGGCTCTCTTCATCGGAGGAAGCTTCACGATCGCCAACGGAGCTGAAATGTATCGCATATCCCGGATAACCAACGGCAGGTGGAAGAGCTCAAAGTTTTGAAATGAGATGACAGCGCCTGCAGCATGCTCGAGACCGACAAGGGTGTGTCCAACACAGTCTACAGCGTGCAGGCACATGAGACAAGTGGAATAGGTAAGCCTGTGCTCCTGCTTCCCTCTTCCCTCATCCTTCTCCATGCCTATCACCTTTTCTCTTTTCTGACGGCTCCTTGCCTCTTCTCTTACATTCTTCTGGCCTTCTGATGCGCCTTGGCAGTGTATTATGGGGGTGCTTTCCTGGACGCGACTGGGGTCCCAGTCGGATCTGTCACGTCCTGGGATGGCAAGAACTGGGACCAGATGGGAGGAGGCGTCTCGTTTCCCTCCACCTGCGATGCATCTGGCACACAGCCCGTGAGACGAGGATGAGGAGAGGGGAGGGGGGCGATGGGAGGGTATCCAGCAGGAGAAATATAGAGAGAGAGTCGACAGGAGGGGAAGGAACAGGGACGAGACAGAGGAAGAGGATAGGATTATATCCTCTCACGAAGCGGAACTGCGTAGGAGATCGCCATTGTGTACTCGATTCTACTGTTGGGAGGAGGAGGTTGCATCGCTTTCTCCTGCTCGCCAGAGCAGAGGTACATTACGTACAGGAGTGTTGGGGGATGATGGTCCCATAGGCCAAAAGTATTTGTGGGAGGAAGATTTGAGTTGGCTGGGGAAGGAAAGAACATGGTAAATTCTTCCCTCATCTTTGGTCCACTACCGCCGCTGCCACCTCCTCTTAATTTTACTCCTTGTTCTCTTTATCTTTATTCTGATACTTCAACCAGGTGAAGGCTCGTAACATTGCTATGTGGGACCCTGCAGCAGCCAACGGTGAGGGCAGGTCAGCGAAAGGAGGTGCCACGTTCTCGTCTTTCAAAGACTGTCACTCCAGGTGGTCGTCCCTCTGCGACTCCAACCCTCCCAACCGCTGCGACATCGATGGTGTTAGCTACAGGGTAAGCTCCTGCCCCTGCCGCTGCCCCTGCCTCTACTCCTTTTCTCCTGCTTTTTTCACTGCTGTTTCTATCGCCTCATTTCCGGCAGGGAACATCTGCTCAAGCTGCAAGCCCCGTCTACGTTTTCTCCCTCGCCTATCACGCGGCATCCAACATGCTGTACGTTGGGGGTAACTGCAATGTTCTCGCATGCTCCTGCTTAGCCTCTTCCAGGACTCTTCCAGTCAGCGGGGCAGCGATATGCTAATATCAACTCACTTGCTGCCTTCAGTCTCACATCCAAGTCCTGGTCTCACTCCTCCGGCCTCTCCCTCATATTCTTGATGCTTTACATTCTTCAGGAGCATCGTAGGGGGAGGCATCGCAGGTCCGAGCCCTGTCGTACATGCTCTCTACATATCCCCTGGCAGTCAAGATCTCTATGTCGCTGGTGCTCCTCCTCTCTGCCTTTCGCTTCCTCACTCGTTCTACGCAGGCTCATTCTCAGCTGTCGGCAAGCAAAACTCTGGTTCGCTGCTGTCGATGCCCCCGCCCCCGCCCCTCTTCTTTCCCCTTCCCATCTTGGATTCCGCTCATCCCCATATCCAGCCCATGCCACTGTCCCCGTCCGTGCCGGGTGTTTCTGCTTCTGCTGCTATCCCTGCTTCTGCATCCAGAATCCTAATCCTCTTCTTCTGATTGTCCTTCAGACGTTCTCAGTGCCGGGCTGAACGCAGGCAACATCGCGGTTTTCTCTCTCACGTCAGGTGCTTGCGGTGCAGCCTTGTGCTCCTCCTGCTCATCTCTTGTCAGGCTCGTGGAACACGCTCAACGGGGGCATCCCTGACGCAGACATCCGAACCGTCGCTGTAGACGGGCAGACGGTGGGACAAGCGAGCAAGTTGGGGTGACTGAGAGCGGAAGAAGTTGACAAAGCGAGTCTGGACATCGGAGGAGGGGAGGGGGGATAAAGGGGTAGAAAAGAGATTATGATGACGAGCCGGTAGGTCTACTGCGGAGGAAAGAAGCTCTACACCAACCAGCAATCCGGTATACGTCCCCTTCACCGTCTAGCTCTAATGCTCGTGCAGGAGTCATCGGGATATATAAGGGCGACTGGTCCCTCATTCGTACAGTAAACCCATCACTCTTCCCATCCTCACCTCTCCTCAGGCCTCGACTGGGATGAGCAACTCGGAGGGTCTGGCTCGGTCAACTCAGTGAGCCTGACTCCCCTCTACTCCTTCAACTCCTCACTTGCTTCAAGATCGTCGCTGTCTCAAAGGCTATCGCACCGGTCAACCCGGTTCTGGGATCTGTCAACACAGGAAGGAAGCTTCAGACATCATTTCAGCTGCTACTCTTGTGCGCAAGCGTCCTGTTCAGTCACATCTCATCCCCCAGCAGCCTTTCTTCATGGATTTTAATCTCATTTTAAGCTCAAATTCTCGTTAATATCTGCCATTCGCCTTCCTTCTCTCCCTCTTGAGTTAATTAGCGCTCGAGCCCTGCTGCTTGCATCAGATTTGCGAGACATCTTTCCGCATCACCTTCATTTGCACACCAGCGTCTCCCCCACCGAACTTTGAATCTCCTGCACCCTGTTGATCCATCATAGCCACTGGCACCTGGAGCCATGCATCTTAGCATCCATGGAATCCCAAATTTCCTGAAAAGCAACATGGAGGGAAAGTGATACCTGTTGTTGAAGCTGATGCATCTGAATCAGCTGTGAATTCCCCGTCTACCAACTTAGTTTCGACTCGCTGTGCGATAAGAATCCAACCTGAGTAGGAGCAGGCTGGCTTGATGCTTGAGTCCTCAGACCGTCTGCGAAGACCAATTAGTTCCACACACAAGAGCCTGTCAAGGCTCACGTGAATTTCCGGGCAAGCCCATCTGGTTTTGCTGAGTCGAGTTAGGCAACTGATGCATCTGCGAATGTTGTTGGAGTTGCTGGCGATAGTGACATCAGTATTGGACGTGGAGAAACGAATACTGCAGACCTGCAAGTGCTGCTGCTGCTGATGATGATGCGAGAAAAGAAGTTCCGGATCGATCTGAGCACTGTTGTCGAACCCTCATCATCAATCCTGATCCATGACAAAGCAACAAAAAAGTTACCTGCTGCCGGAAGACTTGATCTGTGGCATCCCTGAGAGGCTTGATATTGACTGGGTGAGTCCCATCCCTGGGATTCCAAGCAGATTTCCACTCATAGTGTGATGAAGCCCCTAAGTTTCAGAAACCAATTTAGTATTCTTTGCATCCAATGCACCTCTGACATACTTGCATCGTCGGGGGAGGAAATTGCGCTTGCGAAAGAGATGCAGCCAAGCCCTTCAAAGATATTCTCAGTCACCCAATCTAAGCTCAGTCAAGTGTCAATCAGCTTACTTGTGTCTGCGCTTGATGTGTCATCTGATTCTGCAAGTTTTTCATTAACTTCCGATTCCACAGGACAATTTCAGATAACTTACCTGCATTTGCATCTGTTGGCTCGGAGAGGCCATGATATTTACAGAGTGCGAGGAATGAAGGGGCTGACCCTTGAAACACAAATGAACCAACGAAACTCAGTGCAGGAATCAGTACCTGACCCTGCATTTGAAGTAGTGTACCCGAACCAAACATACTGAGCATGGAAGGCTGTGGAAGTATAATGTCAGCATCAAGCACGGAGATGTAATTATCATTTACCTGTCCCAGCAAGGAATTAGTGGGAGCGAATCCCTGCCTTCACGTCAAAAGGGGAAGATTGTCGATAAACGATTGCACTTGTTGTCCAAACTGTTGTGACGATTCCGTTGCTTGCGAACCTTGGGGTTTCATCTTGAATGGAAATATTACATACGTGATTCCTACTCAGTTGAGGTCACCTGTTGCTGCTGCTGCTGCTGCTGCTGTTGCTGCTGCTGTTGCTGAAAGAGCTATGGCGTTGACTCAGACATCTTTCATGTCTCCTGTCGAACACAATTCTTACCTGCCCGGGCTGCAATAGCGGACGAGTCTGTAGCAGATGCCCGCTTCCATGCATCTTCTTGGTAACGTGAAAACGACGAAAAAAGCAATGTTCCTCTACCTGAGTAGAGGGCAGATTGGATTGGAGCTGGTTAGACAGCTGCCCTGGTTGCAACTGCAATCCCCCATGCTGAAAGTATGGTGATCACTAGAAAACTGCGGCATCAAAATTCAACCTGAGGGGATGCAAATTGTGCTGGCAGGTTGCCTGACAAGGAACCGAATGGCATGCCCATGCCCATGCCCATGCCCATGCCCATGCCTGAAGATTGGAATAAACGCAAGGGGAGATGTAAGACAGGGAAGATGAAACGCGAAACATTAGAAAATGCGTCCCAAAAGTAGAAACCGACCTTGAAAGGACTTCTTAGTATTCTGTTTCGAAACGAGGACTACTCTCATAGCGTCCAAGTTCACTGCTGAAATCGAATCAGCAAACCAAATTTTGGAAACGCACTGCTGTATGACCTGGAGGTGGCCGCCTGTTCGGAGCAACATTTGCCGTTGATACAACAACATCGTCTGGCTCTGGAATCGATGGATTAAGGATCTTACAAAGAGTCGGAACTCAAATTGTATACCAGCTTCACAAATGTGTGGCCCAATTTCACTCTGTCTCCATTTGCCATTTGGAACTGATATTATCTTGCAGAGCGTCACGTTCACACATCAACAAGAAACGGTTGTCTTGTCACCTGGGTTGACATCTGACTACCTTTAAAACTAGGTAGTAGCCGCATTAGCGCAGGATTAACAGTGACACATGTGCCATCTGAAGTCAAGAGAATTTAGTAACACATCAGGTACAAAGACTGTCAAGGACCTAGCCGCAGAATTGCAATACCGACACCAGCAGACGGTACTGATAAAATCTGTTGCACAATTAACATTAAATTCACGTAGGGCTCATGACCACCTCTTGAAATGAAATATGGTTCGGATCCTGCGAATTGCCAGCTCCCCCAGATCCCATGCTTCCGCTGGAGGAGTCGTTTGTAGAACCATCTTGCGATTTATTCGTGGCATTTTTGATCGCTTCAATACAAGCCTGCTCTAAATGTGAGAAGTTTTGACATGATAATGATGTAAACTGACCAGCAAAATTTGATTCCTGCTCTTTTTCTTTTGATAAAGTTCTTCATCTTCACCCAACTTGTGGGCACACAATAATTCAGCATGAGAGTTACTTTGAAATCCTCTCACCTGCACATTGCCTACGGGACGACCACCAGGAATTATATGTTCTAGAGCCTGTTCTCGCCTGTCATTAACTGCAAGGCACGAAACAAAGGCAAACCGATATTAGTTCTGCCGTTTTTTCACGATATCTCCTTTGTTTCGCCATAATTCAGCTGCAAATGTGCTACTTTCGACTGTTAAGGATTTCAGGTCATACTTTTGTAATTTCAAATATAAAACCACACCGTGGGAGAATCAGAGTTCCTACTGAATTTTGATTTTGAGCATTACACTGTCTGCACTGAAAATTAGTCACTCTTGTATCAAATCAAACTATTAAATGTCATTTCCATCAACATAATTGACCATGGATGTTCAACTACATGTGCATGGCATGGGGGAAAGAGCCAATCCAATTTGGGAAGGATGAGACTGACATGGAGGATGAGAATGATATAAAGCGGGTTGAAGATGAGATGAAGGAGAGAAATAACAAAGGATTTCTGGTCCAGTAGTTGTTAAGCTCTGGCGTGGAATGCGAAAAGCAAGAGGTAATCATGTAGTAGGCTGAGTGAGGAAAAAGAGGAGGGAAAATACAAAGACAGCATTACAGGCAGGAGAGAGGATGGTGAAGGCAAGGGAAGAAGTAAGGAGGGGGAGGGGGAAGGGGTGAGTAGGGAGTAATTGGTGGCTGTATATGCGAAGAAGGCTGACAATTTTGAACAAGACTGAGTCGAGCATGACGCCGAAGCGATGGATTGCCGCGGGGCAGATGGGGGGTGGGTAGGTATGTGTGATAGGGTGGGTGACATGTTGAGATTGGACAGGGGTAGGAGGACTGCGGGTATGGAAATCACGGGCAAATCACGGGGTGGTGCGCTGGTAGTACCATGGTGGTTGTAGGAAAAGGTGGGTAGTGATGATGAAGTGATGGTTCTCAAACAGTTGATGGTGAGGTGATGGAAAAAGGTGGGGTCCTTTGGTCTTGGAGGTGGGCATACACCCCGTCGCTTTAGGGTGAAGCGGGGGTTGTGAAATGGTAAAGAAGGCAAGTCGAATTGGAGGGTAGGGTAGACGTGGAGTGGCAGTCTGGACGCAGGATGAAAGTAGGTGGGGTTCTCTAAAAGGTAGGGGTAGGGGTATAAGATCGAGGGTTGTCGGGGGGATGCATCTGGTCACGATTTGAATCATGTAACGGGAGTAGCATTTGTGTTGGGTGGGGGAGGGGGTTCGAGAAACCCTCGAAAACATCTAGAACACTGGGGGTAGGGTGTACAGATGGTTGGGTGGGGTCAACGAGGTCACGATTTGAAACGGTCTTAGGAAAGCTATGACAAAGGGCATATGTAACAACAAGATACGATACTAAGACCAAGGAGGTTGGTACCTGCTATCACCCTCTGGTAGGATGGGGAGGTAGGGAGGGAGTTTAGGGGAATGGTGACCCTACCTACCCATATATCCCCCCTATATTTACCACAACACCGGTACTGACATAGCGCCGGGGAACAGGCCCATGACTTTGAGTAAACCATTGGACTTTTTACTCAAAGTTAAGTTAAAAATCAGGACGAGGACCATGACTTCTGCTGCGGTTTGGAGGCCGGGTCGGGGTCGGGGGTACTAGTCTGAGTAAAAAGAGTCTCGGACTCGAGTCCGACCTTGGGGCGACTCGAGTTATTATCAAGTTCACAGGCTGATGATTCGAGTCTGCGGCCCGGCCGGCCCGGCGGTCCGGTCGGCGCGGCCGCCGCGCGGAGTCCGATCCCTTTTACTCAAAGTCCGATCAATGCGGCCCGGCGGGCCCTTGAAGAGACGACGGTCTTTCATTTCAGTCCCGCCGGGGCGGCCGGTCACCGGGCACCGGGCATTCGGCCCATATCATCATGATCGGGATCCGGAGCCTCCGAGTCCGATATGGCCGGGCCGCCGAGTACCGGGCCCCGGCCCCGGCGGCGGACTCCGGCCCGCCGGACTCGGGATGCGTGCCGTGCCACCCGCCCGGCCCCGGGCCGCCGCCGCCGCACGGTCACCCCGATCCGACTCGCGCCCCCCCCCGGCGGCCCCCGCCGCCGCCGCGTGACTGCCGCAAAAAAACGGTGATTTTATGTAATTACTCAAAAATCATTTCTGGTACAAAAATTCAAACCAGGCAGCCCACCCCGCCCACTGTTTGAAAGAACTGAGGTACCCCAATTGATGCCCGTGACGGATCGGACGCCGGGTGTGCCTGACTCGCCTGCGGCCTGCGCCGCACCGGGGCCCGGCCGGCGGGCGGCAGCGGGCGGCAGCGGCATAGCCGCCGGGCTATGCCGCTGGGGGCCCCGGCTAGCCAGTGATCACTAGCCGGGGGCCCCGGCTAGTGATCGGCGGACTGGAGTACCGGCGGCCGCGCGTTCCGACCGCTGGACTCTCATCCGGCGGTCAGAACAAGGTCACGGTGCCGTGACAACTGGCGGCACAGTGCACAACCGCCGCCTCCAAATCACTGACGCGGCCAAGTTGGAACGGACTCGAGCCGCCGCCTTCAATGTTTCAGTGCCGCAACTTGCCATGATGGAACGTATGCCAGCCGTGCCAGTCAGATAGCGCCGAGTTAACAAAAACTCTCCTGTAAACCAAGACGACTTACGTGGCAGGCGGCCAATGTAGCGTATGGGACGAAGAGGGGGTCTTTCCTAGCCGTCTTGCTAAGGTCCTCTCATGTCTGGATGCTTGGGTTTCACATCCTAGTGTTGTATCCATGAGGATCCGGAACCACGGATACTCGTCGGATACTCTGCCGGATATTCCCTATATAGGCGGACGCATCTCGTGCGGACGGCCTCCTGAATGTCCCCCACTTGCATGCACAGTGAGTGTGGTGGTTGTGCGTAGTTTACCTCCTAGTAAACTTAGAGACTTCTATTTCCTGCTTCTCAATCTCCTTCATCCTTACTTTACTCGTGTCGTTGACAATCTCTGTGTTGTGTATACAACATTCTGGAAGCGAAGTGGTTGATTCATGACCTCGAAACAAGGAAGAGGAGGAAAGAAACCTCAGCCGGAAAGGAGCCCTCAACCTCGATCTAAGCAATCAGGAGCATTTCAAACAGAAATTGCTGAAGAGAGTTCTGAGGAAGAAGTCGAATGGAGCGAGCGGCTGCAGCTGCAGCAGCAGCAGCTTTCTCCGAGTCAGACCAGTGGATCTTTGACTCAACCTTATAGGGATGGAGTACAACGTGAAGCGCTGTCTAGCGCGGATCAACGGGCCCGAAACAAGAGGGATACTCCCTTGCGAAGTATTCTGCGATCAGAGGAGGCAACTCAGAGAGCAGCCTCCCCTGCAACATCGGTACGTCTGCCAAGCTCGGAAAATTTTTCATCCGACCCCGTCATGTCCTCGCCAGTGGCGCAGGACCGAGCTCTTCTCCTTCTTCGTCGAATGTGTGCCCTCCTGGCTGACACCATGCAGGACGAGCGTTTCCACATGCTCGCCAATGCTGCAGACGAATTTGCGACAGCCGACGCTGCTGCAACACCAGAGCTCCCGCATCTCGCACGGAAAGTTACCCTGCAAGATGCTAATGCTGATATCTATTCAGCTGAGGAATCAGCTAGCGCTGAATCCTCTGATCAGGAACCAGTCCTCTCCAATCGGACTCTCGTGAATGTGCTAACGAACTCCAAGAGTTTCAATTCCAGCCGCATTCCGATGTACAAAGGTTTTGCTGATCCCCGCTCTGTCGAAGAATTCCTTCGTCAGTGCAACCGCGAATTAATCGCTCAAGAGATCCCAACTCGCAAATGGGTGAAGAGCATCACGCCGTTGTTCACCAACGAAGTGATGGTGGTGGTAGAACGTAAGTACGGAAAGAGTCTCGAGGCCATCAACAAGCTTAAATGGGATGAATTTTCAACTCATCTAAGTTCGTGTCTAGCCCCAATGCGGCAAGCCAAGAATTATCAGACTCAGCTTGATCAGCTCAAGCAGCAGCCCAACGAATCCGCCTGGGCGTACTTGACTCGCGCCACGACACTCTTCGCAACGCTCGAATCGCAGGTAGGGTCTGCCATCCTGTACTTCAACGATCAGCCACTC